ACTGATGCTGCCAATGCCGCTGCTGACAGCACTGCGGCTGATGCCGCTGCTGGTGGTGCTCGTGCTGGCGGCTGTGGGTTCAGAAACGATTGGCTGATGGCAGCAGACAGGGGGAAGCGTCTTGGTTTGTAAAGGAGGCGCATGAGGCGGGAGATGCCGCCATTGCGGCTGCCATTGCCGCTGTTGATGGCTCTGCTGTTGCTGCTGCTGCTGGTGGGGTTCGTGCAGGAGGGAAGGGGGAAGAGAGTATTCACGCCCTCCAGAGGCAAGGGGGAAGAGAGTATTCACGCCCTCCAGAGGGAAGGGGGAAGAGAGTATTCACGCCCTCCAGAGGGAAGGGGGAAGAGAGTATTCACGCCCTCCAGAGGGAAGGGGGAAGAGAGTATTCACGCCCTCCAGAGGGAAGGGGGAAGAGAGTATTCACGCCCTCCAGAGGGGAGGGGGAAGAGAGTATTCACGCCCTCCAGAGGGAAGGGGGAAGAGAGTATTGACGCCCTCCAGAGGCAGCGACTGGCTGTCGATGATGGCAAGGTCTGACCTGATTCAGGTGCATGTGATGTGCGGAAAAGGGGGGGGAAGGGGAGGACAAGGGGAAACGGGGAGGGGGGAGGGAAAACGGAGGAGGAGGAGAGGGGAAGGGGAGGGAAAGGGGAGTGTTGGGGGGGAGGGGGGGGGAGAGGGGGAGGAGAGGGTTAGGGGCGTGGAGTAGGGGAGAGGGCGAGGCTGGGGTGATGGGACGGGGGCAAAGGGAAAGGAAAAGGGAAGCGGACAAGAAGGGGAACTTTACCTAATTAGGAAATAACAGAAGAGCTTTACATAAGGGATAGTGCATAACTATGGTATTTGGAAAGGGAGAGGAAGCAGAGGGGAAGAAGAGAGAAAGGGGGGGAAAGGGGAGGTAAAGATGAGGGGAAGGGGTAGTTGGCTGGTGTACAAAAGGAATGGCATGCACCCCCACTCAACCATGCACTGGCACCATATGCCCACACACGCCATGCACACACCATCCCATGCACTGGAACCCATGCACACACCATGCACATGCACACACCATGCACATGCACACGCCATGCACATGCACACACCATGCACATGCACACACCATGCACATGCACACACCATGCACATGCACACACCATGCACATGCACACACCATGCACATGCACACACCATGCACATGCACACACCATGCACATGCACACACCATGCACATGCACACACCATGCACATGCACACACCATGCACATGCACACACCATGCACATGCACACACCATGCACATGCACACACCATGCACATGCACACACCATGCACATGCACACACCATGCACATGCACACACCATGCACATGCACACACCATGCACATGCACACACCATGCACATGCACACACCATGCACATGCACACACCATGCACATGCACACACCATGCACATGCACACACCATGCACATGCACACGCCATGCACATGCACACACCATGCACATGCACACACCATGCACATGCACACACCATGCACATGCACACACCATGCACATGCACACAGCATGCACGTGCACACATACCACTCACCCACCCACCCAACCACTCACCTCACCATGCGAATCGTGTGGCTCGTATTTGCCAAGACGATGCTCGGGCTCCGCTGCTTCTTAGCGCCTCTGCTGGTTCTCTCCTCGGCTGATATTCCTGTCTTGGCAGCTCGGCCATGCCGTACCATGCCACGTGCCCACAACCACACAGTCAGAGTCAACACACACTAGCTGTATAAGAGAGGGGGGAGGGCGGGAAGGAAGAGGGAAGGGGTGAGGGGGCGTACGAAAGCAGGGCAGCCAGGGACGTAGGCATGAGCACACACTGTCTGCAACGCACTTAACTGAGTGAGACAGGAAGAGGGACCGGGAGGAAGGACGAGAGGGAAGAAGGGGGGAGGGAGGGGGGGGAGGAGGTAACGAAGCAAGGACAACAATGGAGGCAGGCAGGCATGGGGCCACAAACACACTGCCAACGCACATAAGCTGAGTGTGAGAAGGGGGAACGGAGAACACAGGGGAGGGGGAAGGGATAACGCAAGGCCGCAACAGTCTTATTGCTACTCTATCCGTGGGGTACGGCATATATGCTTGGCACAGGCATAGGCGGGGTCACCCGAGAGCAACAGGCATGCGCACGGGCCGGGCCTGGGCCGGCTTGCTATGCCCATGGTTCGGCCCGTGCTCATGGCCAGGCCAAATCTGCTCGCACTCACACCCACCCCCATTGCTCCCACACACATCCCCCTTGCTCGCGCCCACACAACCCCTTGCACGGCCCACACAACCCCTTGCACGGCCCACACAACCCCTTGCACGGCCCACACAACCCCTTGCACGGCCCACACAACCCCTTGCTCGGCCCACACAACCCCTTGCTCGCGCCCAGCCCACAACCCCCCTTGCCTACGCCCACACCCCTCCCTGCCCACACCCACACCCCTCCCTACTCGCTCCCACAACCCCCCTTGCCCACGCCACGCGCACACCCGTCCCTCCTCGCCCACCCTCCTTTCTCTCTCCCACACCCCCCCCCCCCCTGCCCGCGCCCACTCCAAACCCCCCCTTGCTCACGCCCACACCCCTCTTGCTCGCGCCCACATCCCCCCTGCTCGCGCCAACATCCCCCCTGCGTGCGCCCACACACCCCGCCTGCTCGCGCCCACAAACCCTCCCTTTTCAGGCCCAACCAACCCCCCTGCTCGCTCCCACCCACACACCCCACATTGCTCACGCCTACACTCCCCAATGCTTGAAGACACAACCCCCCCTTGCTGTGCCCACAAAATGTGACACGCGGAGCGCGCAGCTCGCTCGCGAGCATCACCGAGTCACTCACACTGACCTGCCCGCTTCGGGCCGAATTCTGGCCCGGATCCGGCCCGGCCCGACCACAGAAACCGCGAATCAGCCCACGTCCGGCCCGGCGTGCTGGGCCGGGCCAGCCCAACGCGGGCCCACGGTTCAAAATCTCAGCCTGGCATGGGTCGCTACCTAGCCCGGCCCCTTGTTGCTCGCACCCACACCCCTCGTTGGGCATGGGTCGCGAGTCGCAACAGGCCAGAAACACCCGGGCTGCAACTCGGCCCACGTCCGGCCTGGAGTGCGGGGGCGGGCCAGCCAACGCAGGCCGAGAGTTAGAAAATCTTGCTGCAGCCCGGACCACAGGCCATGGCCCGGCCCAAGCTCATGTATCATATGTATCATACCCCATACAGTGCACGTGCATAGCTCCCCGCCTCACTTTCTGAAACCCCAAGCCACGCCACCACCACCTCGCGTCCCTCCGCCACCCCCTGCCCTACCCACACCCATTTCTCCCACACCTCTCCCTGTCCGGCTGAAACTTGGGGCGATGTTCTAGACTGCCCCTGTTAGTTCCACAGCAGGGTATCAATTGGGCAAGCACCATGCACTCAGTATCACGCACCTTGAAAACACCACTGTAAAGCATTCAGCTGGGCTGGGCGGCATTCAGCTGGGCTTAACAAATCAGCCGCCTTTTATGACGAGGGAAACCTGAAACACCGAGCTGAATCACCTGGGAATGACCTGAGAGTGACCTGAGAGTGACCTGAGAGTGACCTGAGAGTGACCTGAGAGTGACCTGAGAGTGACCTGAGAGTGACCTGAGAGTGGCCTGAGAGTGACCTGACAGTGACCTGAGAGTGACCTGAGAGTGACCTGACAGTGACCTGAGAGTGACCTGAGAGTGACCTGAGAGTGACCTGAGAGTGACCTGAGAGTGACCTGAGAGTGACCTGAGAGTGGCCTGAGAGTGACCTGAGAGTGACCTGAGAGTGACCTGAGAGTGACCTGAGAGTGACCTGAGAGTGACCTGAGAGTGACCTGAGAGTGACCTGAGAGTGACCTGAGAGTGACCTGAGAGTGACCTGAGAGTGACCTGAGAGTGGCCTGAGAGTGACCTGACAGTGACCTGAGAGTGACCTGAGAGTGACCTGACAGTGACCTGAGAGTGACCTGAGAGTGACCTGAGAGTGACCTGAGAGTGACCTGAGAGTGACCTGAGAGTGACCTGAGAGTGGCCTGAGAGTGGCCTGAGAGTGGCCTGAGAGTGGCCTGAGAGTGACCTGAGAGTGGCCTGAGAGTGGCCTGAGAGTGACCTGAGAGTGACCTGAGAGTGACCTGAGAGTGACCTGAGAGTGACCTGAGAGTGGCCTGAGAGTGACCTGAGAGTGACCTGACAGTGACCTGAGAGTGACCTGAGAGTGACCTGAGAGTGACCTGAGAGTGACCTGAGAGTGACCTGAGAGTGACCTGAGAGTGGCCTGAGAGTGGCCTGAGAGTGGCCTGAGAGTGGCCTGAGAGTGACCTGAGAGTGGCCTGAGAGTGGCCTGAGAGTGACCTGAGAGTGACCTGAGAGTGACCTGAGAGTGACCTGAGAGTGACCTGAGAGTGACCTGAGAGTGACCTGAGAGTGACCTGAGAGTGGCCTGAGAGTGACCTGAGAGTGGCCTGAGAGTGACCTGAGAGTGGCCTGAGAGTGACCTGAGAGTGGCCTGAGAGTGACCTGAGAGTGACCTGAGAGTGACCTGAGAGTGGCCTGAGAGTGACCTGAGAGAACACAGCCAGGGGGCACCATAAGCCCCGCCCAGCTCCACTTCACATGCTTTGCTAATGAGCGGCAACGTAGCCTGCCAACTGCCACCCACGCACCTCTGTCACCCAACAGTCACCTAGCAGCACTGAGCCATCTCACCCCCTTCACCCTCCTTACCCCCAACACGGTGTAGGGGTAAGGGGAAATGGGGGTGCGGCAACCCCCCATTTCCCCCTCTGCAAAATGAGATGGGCGTGCGGCAAGGAGTCCCCTTAGGGCCACTTTTAGTTGCCGCCGCCATTCACCCGGCTCTATGAGAAACGGCAGCAGACTTCTTATTTGGGACTTCCTAAACAGCTGATGATGTCACGTTCGCTGGGGAGACAGAGCCTTGTGCCGCAGCGTTTGGTCATTTCACGAAAGGGGGAGAATCGAGGGGGAAAGGGGGAGAATCGAGGGGGAAAGGGGGAGAATGGAGGGAGAAGGGGGGAGAATGGAGGGAGAACGGGGGAGAACGAAAGGGGAAAAGGGGAGAAAGGAGGGGGAAAGGGGGACAACTCAGGGGGAAAGGGGGACAACAGAGGGAAAAGGGGGGAAACGGAGGGGGAAAAGGGGAGAAAGTAGGGGGAAAGGGGGAGAACGGAGGGGGGAAGGGGGAGAACGGAGGGGGAAAGGCGGAGAACGGAGGGGGAAAGGGCGAGAACGGAGGGGGAAAGGCGGGGAACGGAGGGGGAAAGGCGGAGAACGGAGGGGGAACGGGGGAGAACGGATGGAGAAAGGAGGGCGAAAGGATGCGGAAGGGAGGGAAAGAGGCGGCTTTTGCATAATAAACGTATGTATGAATGTACAGGGGAGGGGGGGAGGATAGGGAGAGGATGGCATGCAGATGCGGTGCAGAGCACATGTTGCATGCATGAGCGTGAGGAGGGGAGCGAGGGGGAGGGCGTGAGGAGCTGCTACATGAGCGTTGGCGGGGAGGAAGAGGGGGGAAAGGGTGGCGGACGGGAGGGCGATATCTACGTCACACGCCTAACGCCACGCTCTCGCGCTCACGCTGCTGCTACGAGCGATACGAGGTGACTCAGACTGGCGCACTCATTGTGCGAAGGCGCGTTCGGCGGACGGTGCTGGCGCGAATGGCGAGTTGCGCAGCACGACTGGTGGCCCGCGCGAGCGTGTCACGGCGGGCAGACGGGCAGCGGCGCGACGATACGCGCGGTGGCGAAGCAGGCAGGGGTGATTGGTAGGAGCGGGGCGGTGATCAGCGGGTAAGGGTGTTTGCGCGCTTGGCAGAAGGGCGGTGAGCGCACGCCAGGCGAGGCGAGCAGCATGACGAGCACCGAGGAGCACCGCGCGACGCCGCTGCCACCGTGACTGGTCCAGCGCGCCCAACCATATTCCCAACAAAACTTGCCCTAGCCTATCGCAACTCCTAACTATGACTGGTCGCTGGTTCTTCACTCAGAAGAACGCGCTGCTCGCTGTTTCCCCATGTCGCCCACGATCTGCTGCTGTGCTCGCCACGAGCGTGAAGCTACGCTCGCTTGGAGCGGGCTTACAGTTGCATAATACAAGATGAACCAGAGTACACGGAATTAGTGAATATCGAGAGTGAGTTTACAAAGAGAGCGACGATACAATTGAAATGAGGGGATGATATAGGGCACAACCTAGCTAGGCGAGGACCTCGGGAAAACGAGGCTCGGAAGTGTGGCGAATGGTGCGGGGGCGACTCGGAGGCGGTTTGGGGCGAGGTTGGATGCCGAACCAGCTGACGCGATATTGTCGGAAACGTGTTCAAGAACGTGCGATTGCAATAAAACATTAAATTCTTCACACTTTAGGGTTGTAGTTATAGTTACATTTCCAATTGCAAACATTTACTTGGTAGACTACACAATATTATTGTGCTACAGTAATGCACAATGGATATATGATAAAAAAACAATTTTCTATCCAAACATTCTCAAACCATAAAAATGCAATCATCACAATCCACAAAACGTATCAACCATAAACTCTGAAGCAATTTGCAATTGCAACATTTTACTCAACTACATGGCGATGCGATGATGAGATTACAGGGTGGTGTGATGTTATAATTGTGTGATGGGATAATGATGTGATGGGGCAATGAGATCACTCTTGGAAACCCAAGAGTGACCAAATAGTGACACGAGAGCGAGTGACCGGCTACTAACCCACTGGTGACCCATTCCTCGCACCACCCATGCACTGTCTTCACGCAGCAGCGACCCATTACAGCCCACCTCCTTCCTGACCTGCTACTGCGGACCCACTGGTGGCCCACGATAAGCCCACATTCCTTGCACCATCCATGCCGTGGGGGCACGAGTCCGTGCGATGGAGCAGAAGTAGGCACAGGAGAAGCAGGTGCGGATCTGGAAAGCGGGGGAAAGGAGGGGAAATGAGCAGTGTGATGCTTGTACCAACTCTGAGAATTCTGAAGAGATTATGAAGCCAAGTGTGGACCATAGGTGCGGAACAGTGCTAGATAGAAGCTGAGAGGGGCAGTGGGCCAGGCAGAAGTAAGCGCGTATGGGGGGGGAGGGTACAGCGCGTGGGTGAGAGCAGTGCGGCGCCACTGCAGGGGCAGGCAGGAATCCGTGGGGCAGACGTTGGCGTAGAGAAGCAGGTGCTGAGCTGGGAAGGGTGGGGAAGGGGATGGTAGAGAGGGAGAGGGTATGGGGAAGGGATGCAATGGTGCCTTTGCCCGCATTGGATGACCAGTGCGGCTGTGCAGAAGGAGGCAATTCCTGTGCAGTGGGGCAGAGGTGGCTGCGGACTTGTGGTTGTAGGAGAGTGCAGTGCGTGCAGAGGTGGCTAGGGGGGAGGGGGAAGGAAGGGAAAGGAGGGAAAGCGGCAGTGGCTTGTAAGCGCGATGTGGGTGGGAGAGAGATAGCGCTGTAGAGGCGTGAACCTGTGGGCCAGAAGCGGGTATAGGAGAAGCAGGTGCGAAGCTGAGGGGGGAGGGTGGGGAAAGGATGGTTTTAGTGCATTCGTGACACGGATGAAGGGAGGGATGTGGGAGAAACAGGGGCAGAGCTGGGGGGGAGGGGGAGAAAGAGGGAAAGTGGTTAAGGAAAATAAGAAAGGAGAGGAAGAGGTAATGCTTCTGTGAGTAGTAATTTGTTGTGCGGTAGGTAGGGCGAGGTGTCAGGGGCCACAAGTCCGTGAATGTTGGAAATGGAATGGCGGGGTTGATGCTATTGGGGGCTGTGTGCGAAGAGGGAATCAGAGTTTGGAAGGGGAGGGGAGGTATTTAAGGGTGGAAGGGGAATGAGTCTCACCTCGGCTGCAACCACCTTCCCATCAGATCCTCCACTCACTCTCACAACCGTCCCACAGCCACTCGCAGACCCTACTCCCTACACTCCCCATCCCTACTATCCACGTCCCTACTTTCCCAGACCCTACTCTCCCCGCCCCTAATCTCCCCGCCCGTCCCCATTCTCCTCGTCCCTTCTCTCCCCATCCCTACTCTCTGTCCCGAATTTCTCGGTCCCTATTCTCCCCGTCCCTACACTCCTCATCCCTATTCTCCCTGTCCCTACTCTCCCTGTTCCTACTCTTCCCGTCCCTACTCTCCCCGTCCCTACTCTCCCCGTCCCTACTCTCCCCGTCCCTACTCTCCCCGTCCCTACTCTCCCGGACCCTACTCTTCCCGTCCCTACTCTCCCCGTCCCTATTCTCCCGGACCCTACTCTCCCCGTACCTACTCTCCCCGTCCTTACTCTCCCCGTCCCTACTCTCCCCGTCCCTACTCTCCCGGACCCTACTCTTCCCGTCCCTACTCTCCCCGTCCCTACTCTTCCTGTCCCTAATCTTCCCGTCCTTACTCTCCCTGTCCCTATTCTCCCGGACCCTACTCTCCCCGTACCTACTCTCCCCATCCTTACTCTTCCCGTCCCTACTCTTCCCGTCCCTACTCTCCCCGTCCCTACTCTCCCCGTCCCTACTCTCCCCGTCCCTACTCTCCCCGTCCCTACTCTCCTGGACCCTACTCTTCCCGTCCCTACTCTCCCCGTCCCTATTCTCCCGGACCCTACTCTCCCCGTACCTACTCTCCCCGTCCTTACTCTCCCCGTCCCTACTCTCCCCGTCCCTACTCTCCCGGACCCTACTCTTCCCGTCCCTACTCTCCCCGTCCCTACTCTTCCTGTCCCTAATCTTGCCGTCCCTACTCTCCCCGTCCCTATTCTCCCGGACCCTACTCTCCCCGTACCTACTCTCCCCGTCCTTACTCTCCCCGTCCCTACTCTCCCCGTCCGTACTCTCCCGGACCCTACTCTCCCCGTCCCTACTCTCTCCCCGTCCCTACTCTCTCCCCGTTCCTTCTCTCCCCGTCCCTTCTCTTCCCGTCCCTACTCTCTCTGTTCCTACTCTTCCCGTCCCTACTCTCCCCGTCCCTACTCTCCCCGTCCCTACTCTCCCCGTCCCTACTCTCCCCGTCCCTACTCTCCCGGACCCTACTCTTCCCGTCCCTACTCTCCCCGTCCCTATTCTCCCGGACCCTACTCTCCCTGTACCTACTCTCCCCGTCCTTACTCTCCCCGTCCCTACTCTCCCCGTCCCTACTCTCCCGGACCCTACTCTTCCCGTCCCTACTCTCCCCGTCCCTACTCTCCCCGTCCCTATTCTCCCGGACCCTACTCTCCCCGTACCTACTCTCCCCGTCCTTACTCTCCCCGTCCCTACTCTTCCCGTCCCTACTCTCCCGGACCCTACTCTTCCCGTCCCTACTCTCCCCGTCCCTACTCTTCCTGTCCCTAATCTTGCCGTCCCTACTCTCCCCGTCCCTATTCTCCCGGACCCTACTCTCCCCGTACCTACTGTCCCCGTCCTTACTCTCCCCGTCCCTACTCTCCCCGTCCGTACTCTCCCGGACCCTACTCTCCCCGTCCCTACTCTCTCCCCGTCCCTACTCTCTCCCCGTTCCTTCTCTCCTGTCCCTTCTCTCCCCCGTCCCTACTCTCCCCGTCCCTACTCTCCCAGCCTCTACTCTCCCCGTCCCTACTCTCCCCGTCCCTACTCTCCCAGTCCCTACTCTCCCAGTCCCTACTCTCCCCGTCCCTACTCCCCCCGTCCCTACTTCGTCGTGCATAGTTCCATCGTCCCTATTTCCGCCTGCCTATTTCCCGTACCACCTCGCGTCACTCCGTGCCACCGTCCCGCGCATCCAGTGGTGGCGGTCGCCAACGGACCGTTCGCGCGTGAATGCGCGCATCTCGCGCACCTCGTCCACCGCGCACCTGCCGCTTCAGTTCCGCCCACGCGGCGGCAGCGCGCGCCTGGAGGAAGGGCGGTGGGCGCACGCCAGGCGAGGCGAGCTGCTCCGACGAGCACAGCGCGACGTCGCTGCCACCATGAGTGGACCAGAGCGCACCAACCATACTTCCACGAAACTGGCCTTAGTCTATCGCAACTCCTAACCTACTAGTCGCAGGTTCTTCACTCAAAAGAAGCGCTGCCCGCTGTTCCCCCCATGTCGCCCGCGATCTGCTGCTGTGATCGCCATAAGCGTGACGCTCGTTAGGGGCGGGGCTTTCGTCTGCGTATGGTTCTTGTTATTACCATAGTGCGCGGAATTAGAGGTGAGTTTACAAAGCGAGTGATGATAGACTGAATATGAGGGAAGTTATATTGTCTTTGGCGCAGGTCGAGCAGATTTGCCAGGGAAAAAACGTGGGTCCAGCTGCTTGGGTCGAGCTCGACTAGACCCACGCGGAAGCGGCGCAAGCTTGCGCCGAGCAAGACAACCCCCACCGCCCCACGGGCTAGGCTCGGCATGCCCGTGAAACAGTTGCCTGCCCGAACAGATTCGTGCGTGCAATTCACTTGGCGAAGCACGTGCTCTCGCGAGCGTCAGTGTGCAGACGTCAGTTGACGTCCAGATTTCGCGCAAACGGTTGCGACGTGATATGTGCGACCACGTCGCAACCAGTTTGCGAAAACCCCCGTATCGAGAAACTCGGTACAGGGGTTCGATTGAGAAGTATGTTTACAGTGGTTTTTTGTTAATTTGTATACGTCTTACGAGATTACGGCATCTTCCGCATGTTCGCGGATTTTTTGTTTGCGCGTGTGTCAGGCTAATTCTGTGGTCGGACACGCAATTTGTACCACGGATATTCGCTAACAGACAGACTAGCAGGTCGGTTTTCGTCGATTGCGACAAGGCAATTTATTTTATGCACCGATCCAATACAGTTGCAATTTTCGACACGACAACAATACGATAAATAGCTCTTTCAGTGTCATAACGATAAACAAATGTGGTTCGTACACCCTTTTGTACACTATTAGTCGAATTGTCCACAAATTTTCTGTTTGAAGCACAATTGAAACCGGGATTTCGAAATTGAAAAACAAAATTGCTACCACAAGAAGACGGTTTTTTTTCCGGATGTTACGATCGCGACAAGGTTTTTTTTACCGGTTTCGTAAAATCGGCTGAGCCACTTTAAAACCAGGGTACACATTCAACGCGACTCCAGGCTAAATTTTGGGCGGCATGTTTGCGGGAACTGCTGATTGGTTGACGAGTAGCGAATAAATAGTTGAGAATGGGCGAGCATGGGGCTTTTCGTCCGTGAGAGATGAGGCTTGGCAGGGGAGAAATTGATAACACTTGGATCTAGAAATTGGGGATCAAGAGGAGGGCAACTGGGTTGGCGGAAAGGGGAAAGGGGGTGAGACGATATTGTGGGGGAAGGGGAAACAATTTCGGTGGGAGCGGAATAGGTATGGGGAGGGGGGAAACGAATTGGCGGAAGCACATTCGATGACTTCGGTATACATTTGCCAAATCTCGAGGGTTCAAATGTTCACCTGCTGAAGCGAACACTCCCCCCAGATATTCCTAAATCACTGAGTAACCCCGAGGTCAAAGGTTAACCTTTGACAGAAATCCAATTGAATGTGCACCCTGGTTTTAAGCTTGTTTTCTAAAAATTCGAACTTGGCCACGACCCTACTTATGGTACTATATACAGAATTCAGTGTATTATAAATTTTCCTATTTCGCGCCAACCGTGGTCCACGTGGCAGAGTCACTTGTCCTCTGCGGGAGGGGCGTGGCTCAGAGTTACGCACTTGTGGAGGAGCCAATCGGGTGCTCTGACACACGCGGGAAGAACACCAGATCTGGGGCCTGGCGACCAGATCTAGAGAAGTTGAGGCGGGAAACGGGGATGCAGTCAGAGGGGGTGGTGCTCTAGTCCATATGATTGAGTCCCAAAATGCATAAATAGCTCCCACTTGTATGTCTTTTCTTGTTGACATCTTGAAGCTTCAACACATTTCTCTTGAGGTCCTCAGCCGTGCTTGCTTCCGCACCTTCAACCCAACATGGCACGAAACACTGCTTCTTTCTGAAACACACGCACGCGCAGGGTTGAACCCGCGAAAATTATTTCGCACTCTGCACCCCCAGGTCATTTTCGAGATAAAAGTAGCTCTGAATCGGACATTCGTTTCAGAGCATCGTTGTACTCCGCTCCTGAGGCCCGACATTCATAATTATTTTCTCCCCGAAGCAACTCCGAACGCGAGACTCTTTTCAGCACAACATCCTCCTGGGTTCGTTGGTTGTTTTAGATTTCGCGCGTCTTAAAAAAGAGACCCCTGAAACATGTGAAGCAAACAGTCGTCTGAAACAGGTACACCGTGATGGAGGTCGATGGAGGTACTGCAAATTTTCTTAGTGCAGCTTTCAAGGACGATGAGATATTTGTAGATCTTCCAGACTGCCAACTGCCCGATGCCCCGATTGATCTAACCGGGGACCGCGATTGGGACACGGATTTCGTGGCGGCAGTTGGGGAAGAAGCGTTCGTGGATGCTCCGGCGGAATTTCCGTCCTCGAACCCTCAAGTCGGGGTCGAGGGAAACAATGCTGAGGGCGCAATTCCGAGGGGCGGCCAGCGTTCGGGGGTGTGGATTAACCTCGCGGAAAATGAGGAAGACCCCCACCGAGCCTTGTTTGAGGACGAATGGGAGGGTAATGCTAGCCGAAGCCCGACCTCTGAAGATAACACCACCAGTCGAAATCTTTTTGGGGATGAGACCCGCGGCAATGTCAACGGCCCAGAATCACAGGCATCACCACATGGAAGTGCACATGGGGTCGAATCGCAGGCTGCGCCCGTGAGAAATGCCGGGGGGCAAGCACCGCAGGCTGGGCCACATGGAAACGCAGAGGGTCGGGAATCACATGGTGCGTCTCAGAGGAATGCAGATGGGCCAGCATCAGTTACGCAGGAGTCAGTTCGGAAACAGACCGACATGGGCAGCAGGAAGCGCCGCGCAAAGACCCCTTTCGATTATCTCGCGCCGAAAACCAGAAAGGAATACATCCTGTATTGGCAGCACTACAAGTGGTGGGTCATCTTGTTCATGTCAACGCTGCCCAAGACAGAGGTTCCAGAGAAGGAGCGTCTAAATACTGTTACACCGGACGAGGTTGGACTCCATTTGGGGGACGACAAAAAGCAGGCGTGGTCAAACGTGGAACCCGAGGAAGCCTATCTGCACGGGCCCCGTGTTTCTGGATGGAGGATTCAGAGATACTTGCAGTACATGGCAGACAAAACCCCGGCGCAGGCCGAAACGATGCGGAGAGACAAAGAAGTGGTGGCTGGGAAGGAGCCCATCCCTAGTACGCCGAGCATGATGAAGGCAAAGATGAGCGCCTTGGGCTTCCTCGGCAGACTGGAATCTCGTCTCTACAACTACCCAAAGTCTGAAGCGGATGAGTACATCAGTGAAGCGCGGGAGTACATGAAGCTCAAGCTGAAACAGCTGCACGACAAGCAGGTTGCGTGAGTATCGTCACACCTTTTGGACACTCAGTTCATCGAAATTTCACTGCCTAATCGCGTTCCATGTGGATCTCTGCAGGGAGGGCACGGATCAGCACAGAGGCTCGCTGGACGATTGCTACACGGCGGAGCAGTACGCGGATCTGCACGAAAAGCACCTTCTGAGGGACATGAAAACGTTGTACCAGAGTGCCAGGGTTGCACTATCAGAAAGTCTCTGGCGGTGTTTTGCGGTGCAGGTGATGATTCAGCTCGCGCACCAAATGTTGGGGAGGGGGTGCAGCATTCGTGCTCTTCGTTTCGCCAACATGTTTGTCCGGCATACGCGTAGCAGCACAGCCGTCCCCGATCGCCAGAAGGATCTCCCTGTTATTGTTTTCGCCTCTTGAAAATCCAAGACGAATTCGACCAACAGGCTGACCCACCAATTCTTGGCCCGTCACATGAACTTCGCGCTCTGCGGTGTTGGTGGCCTTTTTTTGTGGATTCATTTCATCTACGACCTCGTGCCGATTCGATTCGGCACGGACATCGTTCCCCCCCTGGACTTCACCGACCCACTCCGGTGGTCGAAGAAGCACATATTCTTCCCATTGAGGCACGGAAGGGAACAACTGCAGGAAGAGCTTCCGTACGTGACTCACAACAACTGGATTAATTGGGTGATGAACGACGTAGCTCGACCGCCCTGGAAGATGAGCAAAAAGACCCACGCGTTTCGCCGGTCGGGAGCCCAAGGCCTGAGCGACGATCGCTGTCCCGACCCCGACATCAACGCCCTCGGAGGCTGGGAGCAAGGCGAGATGCGAAAATCCTACGTCGTGGGAATTCCGTTTTGGCCTGTGTTGATGATGGCCGGATTCAGTGGGGAACCGGGAGATTACTACATTGGCAGAGCGCACCCCGAGCTTGACGTCCCTAAGGAGTGGGAGGAGTTGCAGGCCCTCTTCAAGAAGTTTATCTTCCCGCGCCTCGAATCTCAGTTGGCAGAGGTATCCCTTAAGTGGCCAGCTTGTAGCTGTTACCTGATTATGTTACACGTGTCAGAGCTCACTCTTCTCTCTGTCCTATCATCTCAGGTCGATAAGTACAACGAAGACAATCCAGAAAAGATGCACCTCTCTGGCAGAAGTTTTTTGGAGGCTCTTGCGAACCCTGGGCGAGACATCGTGGCACAGGACCTTGCCATGTGGTGGTTCTATTGCCCCGATCACGACAAGCTGTTCGACGGTACAAGACGGCCATGCGAGTGCCAGCGCCACCCGTACACGGACATGAACCCGCTCTGCCGCCACCCACTGTTTCAGAAGTGGGCCATCAAAGTTGCAATCATGCACAAGAATGGCATTGAACTTCGTGAAGCCCGGGGCAGCTCTGCAGCCGCTGTAAGTACAATAGTTCTCTGATCGGTACATCCATTTCGGAAAATATTCTCAATGTCTGAAAACCTTCGTCCGTTTTCCCGCAGGACGCGATCTACAAGCTCAACTCTACGCGGAAGTACCAGAAGCTCCTCGTAGAGAACAACCTGTTCCGGATGGAATGTGGTCAGAAGGATCACGAGATTGGAG